GCCATCTGCTGAGGCCGACTGGAGTAAAGAAGACATATGTAGCTCCTCAAACAGAGAACAACAGTGAATGACTGAGTGTAGTACTCTATGAATTTAAACGGCTGTTTGTAATATTCAGATATTAAGCCAGTAAAGCTTTAGAAATGTGTTGTGACGGAATTGGTTCTTTTAGATTTGTCTTAGATTTAAATAGGTGTTTTTCTTATGAGTCTTAGACATTATGAGGTTTTACTGAGAGGAAACGATTGACTCAAACAGCCCAGAGCAACAGCTGTGTAATGGACTAGTTTGATGATAAAACACTGAGTTGTTTAAAACATTTTTTGCCAAGGTTTGAAACATCAACAACAGCACAATGTTGGCTCCTTCTCCCTGACTCATTAGGGAACATTGTTACGGAGCGGAGTTAATGAGTAGGTGTGAAGTACAGGCTGGTTGGGCAGTACTCTATTATAACCAGTATTATTCCATCATGCTTGTACTATACGAGCAGGCTAAAAACAGACTCATGTTTGTAAACGTATTAACAGATGTTTTCAGGCCGTATAGCAAATCTTACAGTAGTAGCCACTGAAAATTTCCCCACTTTCCTTGATGGGCCCTTAGCTGGTTCCCTTCAATTCCTTTTTAAACATCAATATTTGTACTAAATATTCTTTCTGTCATGATTTGTGGACATTAAGATCTAAAGAGAAGCGCCATCTACTGGTCAGACCCTGTTATTTAGTTAAAGGGCGGAGTCAGAGTAAAAAATATGCAAGAGGCTGGAAGTTGGAGGAGATATTGCTGGGAGTTGCAGGGGAGTGTGCTGCCATTCAGCTGCTGTTGGACTGGGAAGGGCCATTTTAAATGGCTGCTACTGTACATTGAACTTATTACCTGTTTAATATCATCACATTTTTTTTTACCAATACGACTTTTCTACATATTCCATGTTCCACCAGTAGATGGCATCACTCCTACATATAGGTGCTGTCTTGACGTGTGGATGTTCTCCTACCTGCGCTGCATCCATCTCGTTAAGCATGACGATGGAGGAGCAGTTGTAGTCAAACACCAGCCTCCAGAAGTCCCCCATGGTGTTTGGCAAAGGATGCTGGGTAACGATGAAGGCCGCGGGCTGTTTGTGGCTCTGAAAAGTGTCCATAGATAATCGGTAACCAGAAACTCATTAGGCACCTGAAGGTAGAACAGATAAGAGTCTAAACTCACGTCCATTAAAGCAGCATTGATGTAGTTGGAGCTCTCTCCGTCCACAGATATGAGAAAAGGCAGGCATCGATCGGCAGACAGAACGTCCATACTGCGATTCTTATCATGATTTCGGGGGAGTAAACCCACACTGCAGTCCTCTGGGCGAACTCTAGGGGTCACTATGTTCAGCGTCTGTTTAAAGAGAAGTATTTCAGACACATCATCCTCACCTATAATTAAAAGCAAGAAGGAAGCAAGGTGCGCTCACCTGGAACTCATCTTTAATCTGGCTGGAGTTGGTCTGGGGATCCAGTCTGCTGATGTTGTAGTAAACCGCTCTGAATTCGCACACTGGGATCGCCGTGTTCCCACACAGGCACGCTTCCAAGATGGCATCGTGAACGAACACATACTGCTCCTGCAACCCCCAACAGAAGGAAGACCGGGACGTCAAAAAAAAAAAAAAAGAAAAACCCAAACAAAGTCCATTAACTCGGTGAGCAAATAGCTGTTAAGCCTTTAGCTATGGAGTGAATTTTGTTCCGTTATTATTGCAAAGAAAGATTTCTGTAGATAGATCTTTTTTCTCCCCCCAGATTTTATAAAAAAAAAAAAAATGTTTATTTATTTTATTTATTTCTCTTTTGCAGATAATGTGTTATGACTGCTTTCTTTTCAGACCGCATTTTACGGAACCCCCAACTTCTGGGGCTTTGGCTTTGGTCTTTTTTTGGTGAAAAGCGAGCATTTATACCGGGCTTAAGGTGAACAGAATATGATCTGTAAAACAAAAGAATGCAATTTAACAAACTCAATCCTAAAAAGAAAAAAATGACAAAAAGATTTGAAAATGGTAAATCTGTAGAAAAAAAAAAGAACATCTGAAAGGAAATAGAAGTATATAGATTTTTTTTTTTTAAATATAACCTGAGAAAACAGCAAAGTTACTCACAAAACCTTTGCTTGTTTTCTTTAAGAAAAAGCTTCTGGATTAGCTTTTATTCTATTTTAAATTTACAAAAACACATTCTTTCCAGAAATAATGGAACAAAACTTACTCCACATTAACCTTCCTTTGATTTTTTTTTGTCTTGCTCCATTTTTTTTAGAGCAGTAACAAAAGTCAATTGTTGATTAAAAGGGTTTGTTACCAACGGTATTATAAGCACTAAATCAAAAGGAGGTAAACTACTAGGCATGCATAAACCTGCTGGTTTATGCACATCAGTGCAACATTTGCAATCTTGCGCTCTTGTGGCCTTTACAATAAGCATTGGTGTTTCTGTCTAAAACAGAAAAACCTGCAAGTAAATGCATCACCCAGTGATGTGCATATTAATCCACCGCAGTCTTAACCTGCTAGCTGCTTTATCTTATAGCAGTTGGGTTATTTAGTCTGTGTCCCACACGTGTTTGTCTGCTGCTTCTCGCTTTTTCAATTTGCCTCCAACGTTATCTTTCAGCTTCTCTCTGCTGAATTCTGATTTGTTGCTCTTCGGGCTGGAGAGGCAGGTTTAAAAGCGTTATCAAAGTGACCTCTCTTGGTCATTACCTACTTTAGTGCCGTTCATACACACACACACACACGCTCCAAAAAACCCCAGCACAAACCGATGAGTGATGCACACACACTTTTCTCTCTGTGACTTTTAAAAGATTAATTGCTTTGTGTTGTGCGGAGCAGGATTATAATAGAGGCGAATGGCTTCCAAGCTGACACAAATTGCTCCCACACATATTCAAAAAGGCAGGGCAGGATGCATTTAGCTTGGTTTCAAGAGGCGCACACACAGAGCTAGCCGCAGCACGGCTGCTGTCATTACGGTAAAGAATCACCCTCGACGCGATGCTTTGGGTCTCTCATGAACCAAACACTTCCATAATGCCTTCAAAAGTCATTTTAGCCGTGAAGCATGAGCAGTTGGGCTGTCCCTTTTTTGTTTAAATGGTGGAAAAGTTAATTTTGTTCCTTTTTTTTTTTGGAAGTGCACTTTTTTCATTAAAGGCAGAAATGGAAAGCAGAGGCGGGATGGATTAGATGGGCTTACAGTAGCTTAGAAGGGAAATGAGTATTTCTGTTCCAAAACTACGCGGCCAACAGTCGGAGACAGTCGCTTTAATAATGACTGATCAGACTCATTTGGAGCAGCTGAGCAAACTGTGTGAAACAAAGGATGGAAAAGAGGAGCTCTGCTCAGAAAAACAACTCTAAGAGAATTACCTGCTGTGTTTTACTGGGATATTAAACAACTGACTTCCTCTCATTCATCATTAAAGATAATTTCACTGCTTTAAAGTCGTAGGGAAATCATATTTAAATGTCAAATCATTCTGGCTTAAACATGTATATAAATGTACAAAATTTAGAAAATTTCTATAAAAAAAAGAAGAAAATCCTGTCTTAAAATCTGTGTTTTTTGTTTTTGTTATCTTATGCAGGGCAGTTAGTTATACGTCAGCCTGAACACCTAAATTCTGCCAATCATATATCAACGCTCATCTGTCAATCAAATGTTTTCAGTCAT